TTCCTCATGTGTGTTGCTCTTTCAGGCCATGGTTCTGCAATGCCGTTTCTGGCAAACTATCTTTTTTTTTCCCTTGCTGGGCACAGGGGCTACACAGATCTATTCTTCAAGATACAAAAACGGAAGGCCCAGACCACCTGCTAAACAACCAACTGGGATCTGCAATATGTTTTTATTTTCCTCTGATGTTTTCTTCCCTTTAATTTCAGAACAAATAGGTGAGCAGGTTTTTGAGACTCTTAATTTTTCTTCCCCAATTTTGTTTTGAAAAATCTCAAACCATAGAAAAATTTACAAAGAAATACAGCGACCACTTATGGCCTTCACCTAGATTCACCACTTAACCAGTGACCACATTTGCCTTTTCTCCCTCTCTCATTCAGCCTCTAAGGCGGTGGGGTGAAGGGTTAGGATTTAGGATCCCATCCAAAATCTTTAATGCTCCTTTGTAACTTCAACTTCATGTACTGAAAAAGCTCACCGGAATCATGGCTGAAGTCTGGCTGCAAACCTACCTACTTCCCTTGTGCTTCCTCCTACGTCAGACTTACTGGGGAGACACCATGAGATGAGAATTATCCACACTTTGGTCCCGCAGCCAGAAAGGGGCAGGCCCTGGAGACCTGGCCCCAGACCTCGGATCTTCCCCACTCCCTCCGTGTTTCATACCTTGCTACTCAAGGTATGAATCAGAGGCCAGCAGCAGGGAGCTTGTTAGAAATGCAGAATCTTGGAACCCAGCTCAGATTGTGGAATCGGAATCTGAATTTTGTTTGTTTTGGTTTGGTTTTGGGAGGAGGAGGTAATTAGGTTTACTTACTTATTCTTAGAGGAAGTACTGAGGATCGAACCATGCATGCTAAGCAAACACTCTACCCCTTGAGCTATACCCTCCCCCTGGAATCTGCATTTTGATAAGACCCTAAGGTAATATGCAGGCACATTAAAGCCCGAGAATTCCTCTCTGGCTCCTCTTGGCTGCTGCCTCTCTTCTCCCCGCCCCCTTTTATGTATATCTATCTCTATATGTTTATTCATAAGTCCCTACTTGACACTGAGCCCAAAAGCTCATCCCAGCTGACCAGAGCCAGCCTGCTGCTGCTGCTACTGTGTTTCGTGTTTTCTGAAGAATGTTCTCTTGAGCCTGTAGCAGTGATGGGGAAACCCACAGAGGGTTCAGAGCCCCAAACACCACTGAGTCCCACCCACTACTCTTTCTGATGTCATTCCCTACACAGGTATAGTGCACTCAGACCAGGCGAACTGCCTTCAGACCCCAGGGAAACAGGCATGCTTCTGCTCACTTTAAGAGGGGAGTGTGACTTCAGAGCGTGAACCCAGGCCTGCCAGTCCCAGTCCCTTTGCCCCTTGGTACACCTGCCTCTGGTACAGTCACATACAAGAGTGAGAAGGCTGGGTCTGCGTTAAGCAATATAGGGTTCTCCAGCTGAGAGGTACAGTTGGAGTAATGCCTTTAGGACTGACATTTGCCCAGAGCCTCACGGTTTACAGGGTGACTTCAGATAAAGACCATTCTTTCCTTTGATCCTCACAAGAAAAGTAGCCATGGCTGATCCCACCCTCCACCCTGGCCAAGGCTTTGCTACTCGGAAGCCCACCCCTCTAACATGCTGCCTCCAGGACGTCCTCTGAGATGAGCGTCCCGGCTCCTGTACCTGCAGCCCCTCTCCTCACAGCCTTAGAACACTGGGACAATGGGACTCGAAACCGGGTGGAGTCCGGGTGGAACCACAGAGCTTCTGTGGATTCCAGGACCAGCTCACAAAGGACCGTGTGCAGAGTGGGCGCCATGTCTGAGGGGTGAGTGAGGGGACGGGAGAACAAAGTGCCTCCCTGGTCCCATCAGGCTGGGGCAGCCGCGGGGAGAAGGCCTGGTGGGGGCAGTTCTGTGTGGGCCAGCCCTGCCTGGGCCCAGACATCCACACAGCAATCCTGGCCACTCCTGCCTGTGGTCAGATTCCCTCATCAGGCTTCCCTTGGACTATCAATTCCAGAACCAGGGCTCTGCTCTGGGAAAGGGACCCTTCTCTACACTCATCCCTCACCTCCACTTTCCACCCACCATCCCCAGACCATTGCAGCATCTGTGGGCTACACCTTCACCAACTGCAGGCTCCAACTGGCCTCTCTCTGCTTCCTTACGGGCCACGTCCACTCTCCATTCTCCTTGCTCATCCATCAGCGGACTCCCTCCCCACAGTGACCCCAGTCTTTCACCTCTAAGCCTCAGTAGTACTCACTGTAAATACCATCTCATTCCCCTGACGGCCCCTTGCTTCACTGAACTCCACCCCGGGGCCATGAGCAACCTTAACGTCACACCTGGAACCCGAAGTTTACACTCCTGAAAAGCCTCAGTAGAGCCCATCTCCCCCAACCCACTATCCCCACTCCTCTGAGGCTCAGCGCAGCCCTTGCCCGCTGCCTCCTCTCCAGAGCTTATCAGCGCCTCTGGGACTCCTCCCACTTAATCCTTCAAGAGCTGCTGGACCAAGAGCAGCCCCTGCTCCAGCCCGTGCCTGAGCAGGAGCGGCAGTCTTTCCAGTACAGGCTCTCCTCGCTCTACCTGTACTACCTGGGGCTGCTGCGCCGGTTCGACACCCTCTATGACCAGATGGTGCAGCCGCAGAAGCGACGGCTGCTGCGGCGCCTGCTGGACGGCGTGGCGGGCCGTGTGCTGGAGCTCAAAGACGATCTGGTGCGCGCCGACCTGTGCGAGACCCACTGCCTGGACCAAGTGCTGCAGGACCTCACGCTCACCCCGGTGCGTCGTCGGCTGTGTCCTGGAACAAGGCCCAAGCCCGCTGGGGGAGGGGAGAGGGGGCAGGGCAAGCCTCGACCTCCCCTTCTCTGCGGAGGCAAGCCACGTCCCTGCCAGCTTAGGGTAGGCGCAGCCTTGACCTCCCTCAGACACCCCCTGGCATTGGGGCATCTGCAAGGGGGAGAGAGCAGAGCACAGCAGAGGATGAGGTTTCAGAAGTGCAGGAAACTAACTGGGGGGTGGGTGGAGAGTCAGGCTGGAAGCACCGCCTGACTGGGAGGACGCATAAACCCAACTGCAGGGCCTTGGTGAAGAGAGTTCCCCAGAGGCTTGCTCCTCAAAGGGTGGTCCGCGGACCAGCAACCAAGAGATTGTTAGAAATGTAGAATCTCTGGCTGCACCCCAAATCCACTCTTCTACATCTGTGTTTTCACGTGAGCCGCAGGTGCTCTGTGTGCACCAGCAAGTTCCAGAGCACAGAGATTCTGCACTGGCCTCCTGGCTGCCCCAAGGTCATGGTCCACTGTTTCACATCCAAGGCAGTCTCCAAGCTTCCCCAGCTAGCTGAATCAGACTCAGCTGTGGGCTTGAACAAACAGACCCTGTCATTCTGAGGTGGTAGTCTGAGGAGGGCTAGGAGCCTGCATATGAAGACCTTCCCAGTTGATTCAGATGCACAGCCAGGCTTGGGACCACTGCCCATTTCCTACCATGACCCTCCAGAATTCAACTCTGGCCATATGATGGGGGCAAGGGAAGAGAGGGATGACTCTTGGGGGATCCATCCCCCTGTAGCCTGTAAATTTCCTGCCCCAGGGCTCAAAGATGGAGGAAAACATCCCCAGGGTCTGCACATGTAGCTGAAAATGGAAGTGGATTGGCCAGATGATCTGAACTTTTATTCCCTCCCCCTCCCTCCCCCATATTGCCCCAAAGGCAGACCTGGAGGTTCCAATTCCCAAATACTTCCTGCTGGAGCAGTCCAGTGCTCTGAGAGATCAAGAGCACATGCTGGCAGAGATCCTTTCCAGACTGGAGCCAGTGTACTCCAAGGGGGTAAGTCAGTCAGAAAGACACCCTCCCAGACTCCTCCCGTAGCCCCCTTCCTGGAACTGAGACGCCACGCTTCAGGACACAGAGGCCCTGCCCTTTATCCACCTCAGAGAGCTCTCTGGGTAATCCCTGGCCTCCTCATGGCTGCTCTTTGTACCCTTCCAACAGCAAGGCAGAGGGTCAGGACTGACACACCTAGATGCCCTGGGAGGACCATACCCCCAGTGTGTCTTTCGGGGGCTGGTCTCCCAGCTGCCCACCTGCATACAAGTCCTCCCTCATTTCCTCTTACTTTGCCCCTGCTCTGGCCAGAGGTTTCCAGTATTACACCGGACTGAGGCCATAATTCTACTGCAAAGTGCTGAGCGGGCCAGGCAAGGCAGGCTTCGAGCCACCTTCATGCGAGAGATTCGGAAAGAAGAGGAGAGAGATCGGAAGATCCAGGAGGAAGGGCAGAACCAGTTCAATGAGGACGAAGCAGCTGTCACCGTACAAAAGGTAAAGTCCCCCCTCCCCCGCACCTCTCCCCCCTGTGCCCAGGAGGAAGGCCAGGGTAGAGTCACCTCCTCCAGGAAGACTGCCTGGCTCAACAATTGATAACAGAAATGCAGGTGCTTGGATTCTGTTTTCCCCCAACTAGAGATTAAACTAGGAACCTTCATCAGTCAATAAGCTTGTATCTTATTTGTTTATTACTTACTCTATATCTCTATCCCCAAAAGGACTTGAAGTGGGATTCCATAAAAGCCTAAGAAACAGAAGGATCATTAAAATTAGGGAAGAAAGATCCATAATACAGCAGCAGAACAGAGTGGACGATCATTCCCCAAAACTCTTAAGACTATTAAAAATGAGTCACTGAGATGTCTCCTGAGCCTCCTGATTGCGGAGGCAAAAGGAAACAAGGTGAACAAAATCGAATTTGAGAACTGATGTGATCCAGGTGCCTTCAGGGACTGTGCCATCTGGGGTCACCCTTCAACAAGGAAATAACATAATCACACCCCACCCCACCTGACTGCAGAAAACCCGGCTCAGTCTTTAGATTTTCCTGTGCGTCCTGGCGGGGCGTGCCTCTCCTCTGCCCGAGGTGGCATTCTGTCTGCCCCAGCATGTGGGCCTGGCCCCTCTATCATTCCCCAAGATGCTGCTAACCCAGGCCCACACTGGGCGGTAGTGGTTACCAGCTTGACAAGATTGGAGGCACCCTAGGAAAACTCCTGGGCAGAAAGGGCCCCAAACTGCTGACCTGGGGTTCAGTCTTTCTCTCTTAAGTCAGTCGTCTCTCCCATCTTCTCTCTCAAGTCCCAGTGCCTCAAAAACTTCTGTCTCCTAGCCCAGTACAGGAAACTTAGAACTCCCTCCCACCAAAAACCAAAAGCAAACCAACCAACAAACAACAGCCCTGAGAACGGACACATTCTCCAAATGGGATATATTTTTAGATTATTAATCAGTATGCAGAGCATCTCAGTCTTAGTCCCCTGAATTTGGGTGACTGTACCCATGGCCAGCTGCCCCACGGATGAGCAAAAGGTCCTCGCCCTCAAGGCTCCCTGAAGCAAGGCTTTGGTGAAGGAAGTTCAGCCCCAGAGACAGAGCTTCCCTTCCCCCGAGAGCCAAAACAAGTCCTTTGATAACTGTTGCCAGACATCAAGGATATGGAACTACTGCTTTCCAGGCTCTGGGGTCCCCAGTTCACTCATCAAAGGAAAGACTGTATCGGGCACTTGGCTGCCGCGGGCCTTTCCTGTGCTAGCCGCAGGAGCAGGAGGACAAAGCCCAGGCGGGAGCCCTGGATGCAGAGCCTGCTCATCCAGGCGCTGTCTCAGCGAAACCACCCGGCAAGGCACTGGCCCTGCCTCCCTCTGCGCAGCGCCCGCTCTGCACCCCGTAGCACTGGGTTGTCCATGGGTCTGGGAGTGACCAGCAGCCTGGGAGAAGAGCACTGAATGAGGAGTCAGGAAACCTGGCTCTGGTCTAAGCTCTGCACTGAAGGGCTCTTGGACCAGGAAAGGTCCATGTCCCATTTTCTGGCCTCAGTTTCCTTGTGCCAAAAGTTGGTGGGTGGGGATGCAAATTTCTGTAGCCACTATAGAGAACAGTATGGAGGTTCCGCAAAAAACTAAAAATCGACTTACCATATGACCAAGAAATCCCACTCCCGCACATATATCTGGAGAAAACTCCAATTCGAAAAGATTCATGGACCCCAATGTTCATAAGAGCACTATTTACAATAGCAAGATATGGAAACAACCTAAATGTCCATCAACAGACGAATGGATAAAGAAGATGTGGTGTATACATACGAGGGAATACTATTCAGCCATAAAAAGAATGAAATAATGCCATTTGCAGCAACATGGATGGACCTAGAGAGTATCATACCAAGTGAAGTAAGGCAGACAGAGAAAGTCAAATAACATATAATACGACTTACATGCGGAATCTAAAAAACCAAAAAGATACAAATGAACTTACTTACAAACCAGAAATGGACTCAGAGACATAGAAAACAAACTATGGTTACCAAAGGGGAAAGGGAGGAGAGGAATAAATTAGAAGCTTGGGTTTAACAGATACTCACTACTATATATAAATAAACAACAAGGACTAACTGTATAGCACAGGGAACTATATTCAATATCTTATAATACTCTATAATGTAAAAGAATCTGGAAAAGTATATACATATATATATATATATATATACACACATATATGTGTATGTATGACTGAATCACTTTATTGTACACCAAAACTAAAGCAACATTTTAAATCAAATATACTTCAATAAATAAAATTAAATTAAATTGTAGGGATTAACTGGGGGAGCTGCACGGCTCTATAGCACCCATGTCTGCATGCCTGGGTGGAATCAAGTATTTATTCTAAATGCTGTGGGGATTCTAAGAAAAAGTGTGGAGTATTTCTTGGAGAAGGTGGTACTTGAACTCTGATTTGTGCCTCAAAAGATACAGCAGGTTAGAAGGTGGAGATGAGAAGGAGGGATGTCCTGGGGCCTCTGAGGGGACAAAGCCTTGGAGCTAGACACCTGGGGTGCAGACCCGCCCCACCCTGTTCTGGGCTGTGCCTGCTCAGGGGGTCAGGAGGCGCCTGCCCTGGCGCTCCTCCCCCAACATCCCTGCAAAAATGCGATGTGGGGATGTCCAGGCCCACGTGTCCCCCCAGGTGTGGAAAGGTTACCTGCAGAGGAAACGCACTCGGCAGGACCGGCGAACAGAGATGGAGTTCATCGGCATGGTGAGTGCCTCCCTGGCTGCAGCCTGTGGCCCAGGCGGCCCGTGTTAGGGCCCCCTCCTTCTTCATCCCTCTGTGCACCTACCCCAGAGGGCAGCCCTGTACAGCCCCTTACAGCCCACATTTCCCTCCACTCAAGACTGTGGTGGGCATGAGCGGAGGGGGACCCTGGTTGAGGGATCCTTCAGGGTTTGGTTGAGAGAGAGAAAAGCACAAAGCCACTGCCAAGCCACACCCCTTGCCACCTCTCCTCTCTGGAGCCCTTCGGAAGGAACTCAAACCTGGGGCGGGGGGGGGGAGGGATAGTAGCGCAGAGAATGTGGACCCCACGTCCCCCATGTCCATGCCCACCAGAGGCTGCAAGGGTGGATTCAGTAGAGTGAGGAGGCCGAGAGGCCAGTGGGAGCCCCGCCCAGGCCCTGGCAGCCTCTGGGAGAATAACGGAGAGCCGAGTTGGGATGAGACAAAACTTCTTCACATCAGAGCATTTTTGAGGGGCCACAGGCTCCCCCCTTGCTCTGGGGGCCCCAGACTCGCTTCTCCTCTGCTCTGCAGGCAGATGGCCAAGTGTGAACTAGGAGACAGGAGCATGAATGTGCCCTGAGGGAGCATGGGCGGCCAGAGGGCAGATCTCAGGCGCGCGCGTGCGTGCGTGCGTGCGTGTGTGTTTGCACGTGCGCGCTCCTGGAGTCTCGTCGTCCTCTGCTCTGTGATGGTCTTCCACCCAGCTAGTGTCTGCTGACTTGGGAAAAAAGGCCACTAACGGGGTGAGGGTCATGATCCCTGGGAGGGGCTTTACCGTGGACAGAGCCTACAGAAGCCAGGCCGATAAAGGGAGATGGGGAGGGGGGTGGACCTGGGGGCGCCAGAGGGATTGGAGACAGGCCTGGGATGGCTACTCCCAGGAGGCTTGGGGGCTTCAGGAGGACAGAGGGGCCAGGTGGCCGCTGCATGGGAGCGGAGGTCACAGACTCATTGTGGGGCTGCAGAGCTGTATCCCCAGGAGGCAAGAGCAGGCAGACGGGGGCCGGGCCGGGCCGGGCCTTTGTGGGGAGGGGGCAGGGGGCCATGGCACGGCGGTGGGTGAGGAATGAGTCCGGCCGCCCGGGCCCATCAACAGTGTGAGCTCAGCGTTTTCAGTAATTGTCTCTGCGCAGAGTGATATTTAAAATACATTTGGGAGCCAATGAGGCGGGAAAGTGGCTGTGAGAGCGGCTGCCAACACGGGCCGCGGGGCGGCAGTGCGGGTGGGGGCGGGGGCCGGAGGCTCACGGGGAGGGTGCGCTGGGGGGAGCGGGCAGGGGGGCCAGCCCGGATGCATCTAGCAAACTCATTATCAGAGTAATTTACACAGACGAGTTTCGGCTCCAAACACAATTTCTCCTGATGCAGGCATGCCCGTTGTTCCGTGCGGGTGTGTGCGCAAGGCCTTACGTGTGCGGGGGTATGTGCAGAGGCCGGTCCTCCCCACTCCCACGCCTGAGCCCCTCTGTCTCCTCGTCCACGTCCCCAGCTGCCCTCGCCCAACCAGGTGGAGCACCTGGGCATCATGTCCCAGGCCAGCCTTGGGGAGGAGGTCCGGAGACTCCGCCAGCTGGAGAAGGAGGAGGAGTTCCAGCTGGCGATGGTGAAGACCTACGATTCCCTCAGAGAGACGGAGGGGCCCTACATAAAGGAGAAAATGATGGAGCAAATTCGACAGTGGTTTATCGAGTGCCAGTCAGTGTCCCCGGCCTCAGCTGACCCAACCCTTAACCCCTCTTTCCCTCGCCTGTTTTGTCCTCTGGTCCAGACTGGGCCTTTTCTCCATCTGCCACCCCCAGCCCCCTGACACACTGCTAACACACTCGGCTGAAACCTGGAGCCCCCAACCTACAGGAACATCTTCACACATGACTTTCCATTTCCCCAAATGGAAGAGAAAATGCCAGAATAAGATGGGAAAAGCATCCAGGAATGTCCCCAGATGGGTCACTCCTTCCCTCTTTCCTTCTATCCCTGGACTTCATCTTTCTCCATCTTTCTCCCTATCCATCTATCCAACCATCCACCCACCCTTCTACCCACCCTTCTATCTGTCATCCATCCATCAATTTATCCTTCTGTCCCTCCACCTATCCTTCTATCCATCCATCTGTCCATCCACCCATATATCCATCCATCCATCCATCTCTCTGACCATCTTATGTTCATTTAGTGCCCTTACTGGCCGATTCCCTGATTATCCAGATGAATCTTCAGGTGGATCCTACCTGATCTTTGCAGACAAGACTCCAGAACAGGTACCCTGGAGGAGGGGTAAAAGACCTTCTGTGGTAGGTGGAATCTGAGGTTACGGAGAATACTGAATGTAGGCTGAGGGTGGCAATGGGTGTGGGGAGAGGTCGGCCTTGATGGAGGTGAACGTGGAGGAGGGAGTATATGCAGTCAGCACGATCACATGGCGAGGGGGGGTGCCTAGTGCGAGCTGGAGAAGGCACCTTGGCCAGGGAAAGGAAACATGTCTGGTGGAACCACTGTGGCTCCAGACCCCGTGGGCGGGGGAGAGCAGCAGCTCTGAGCAGAACCCTCCCTCACCCGGCACCCTAGTCAAGTCTCGGGACTCTCTGTGCCTGGATCCCGCCTTTGGAGTCCTGGGTCCACCCCCAGCTCAGCTCAGGCCCTGGGTTCTCTTGTTCTTAGAAAATACCCTGGGTCCTCTCTGAAACCTCTTCCATTGTCTGTCACAGGTGAAAATGGAACTGGAGGTGCAGGTCCAGGAGAGCAAAAAGAAGGACCAAGAGAAAAGTAAGGGAAAAGAAAAGGGGAAAAAAGAAAAAAAGAAGAAGAAAGGGAAGGAGGCAAAAGCCAGGAAGAGGGTGAGGCATTGCCTGGACTTGTGGGCCAAGTGGGCAAGAACGGGGCCTCAGGGAATTCCCCGGGGGGAGCTGGTCTGGGGAGAATTAGGGTCGGAGCTTGTGGTGTGTGGAGGTGAGAGGTCAAGGTCAAATGATGTTTCTATTCTAGGAAGCAGATACCACACTGAAAGTGTCACCATCCAAGTCCATCCCCGTGATTAACGCCGGGCACGAGGAATACACAAGTGAGAGAGGGGCTGGGGAGAGCGACCGGGCTTGTGGGATCTTGGGGTGACCTTGGTCCTGGGGAAAGGGGACACGCACTATGTGGACCATGACCTGGCAGCATGTGTATGTGGGTGTGGGGCCTGTGAGGTGTGATTCCTAGTGGGGGTCATTATGGGTTTGGGTCTGAACCTTGCTGTCACCTGCCTGGGGATCGGGCCTCTGTCTGTGGCCTGGGTGGAACAGGGCCAGGCAACTTGGTGGGAGTGGTGGAGACCCCATGTGTGTGCATGCGGGAGCTTATGCATGCACATGTGTGTGAGTGTGTGTGAGTCCACCTGGACCTCTGACACTCCACTGCTTCACTCCTACCTCTCCACGGTCAGATCTGTGGAAGAACAGGTATGAGAGCCTCCATCCCAACCAGAGTTTTGACTCTGAGACCCTCCAGGTGGAGAAGAGGAAGGAAGTGGAGCAGGAGATCCGGATACAGGTGAGTGCACTGGCTCAGGGCATCCGTGCCGGTCTCCGGCTGCTTCAGGCTCTGTCCCCTCTGCCCTCAAACACCCCTCTCTCCAGCAGCCCCCGGCCCACCTATCCTCTAGATATCCACTATGCACTGCCTTCCCTGCATAATCCTGGCTCCATCAGGGTCCCCCTCGGTCCCCATTGTCCTCTGCCTCTCCTTGGTCCCCCTTTCTCCTGGTGTGGATATGGCCCTGATGTGAGGGAAATGGAGTGGCTCTGAGCCGGGGTCACACCCACCATTATTCTCACCAACGCTTAAAGAGCTCCCTGTGCCAAGTACCTAGGAAGTATTAGATCCCACAGTCTTTACAACACATGTGAGGCAGGCACCATGATTTTCCTGACATCACACATAAGAAAGTGAAGGCTGAGAGGTCATGAAATTGCTCAAGGTCACACAGACTTTAAAGAGGATCTGGGCCTTGAACTGAAAGCTGACTGGCTCCATCCTGAGGGCTTCTGCTGGCTGAAAGCAAGTGAGAGCAGGATATGGATTAGGGTTGGGATCAAAAGAACACCCACCCTGCTGCCTTCGCTGGGCTCCCTTGGCTCCTCCCTGAGGCTCCTCTCCACCCCCAACTCTGTCTTCACCCCTCCTACCTCCCCAACCCCTGGTTGCCCCATCACACCACCTGCTGTCCCCCCAGGTGGATGAGCTGATGCGTCAGGAGCTGAAGAACCTGCGACTGGCCGTGGACAGGGAGGAGGGGAGACCCTCAAAGGCTCCAAAGGCAAGATGAGGGGCCAGGGCCGGGACAAGGGAGGGCACACGGTGGGGGAAGCAAGGAATAGAGGACAACTGCCTATGTGCCTGTTTTCAACCAGAAAAAGGCGGGGAAGAAAACTGGAAAGAAAAAGGAAAAAGATCTGACCTCAGACAGGTCAGTCTTTTGCTGTGGGAGGTGGAGTGAGCCCTGGTCCAGGACAGCTCTGACTTCTGGTCCCAGTTCTGTTGCTGCGTGACCTGGGGAAGTCACTTAACTTCTCTGACTCCCCGTCCTTGTTAACCAAGTATCTGCCCTACCAAACTCACAGGTTAGCTGAGGATCAGACAAAAGCCTAAGAAAGTGTTTTGAAAGTGATGATGCAGAATGAGCTGTGAGGGGAGTATCTTAAATACTCCCTCCAACCTTTGCCTTAATCAGCCTTCCCCACCAAACCATCTCCTGCCAGACCTCCCACTCGGGGGCACTGGGGGACTCAGCAGTGGTCCCTTTCTATTCACTCCTCTGGTGAAACGAGTCGGGAACACACTGATGCCAGCTGCTCTGATGGCCATCTCTCCCAGGAGCGTGTACACCTTAAGTGTGGTTTTCAGGAAGAGGGCGATATGTCACCCAGATGCCTGGGTCCTTAGAGGGCGTCTTTCAGAGGGCGCTGGTCCTTCTCACACCCCTCTCAATGGCCAGGGCACCTGCCTCGGGCGTTCTGCCTTCTAGGCCAGCAGGCTGGTGTTGTGCCTTCAGATGCTGGCAAACCAGAGGAGGCTGGGCAGGAGGGCCCCTTATCCCCTTCCTCATGCCTACAGCATCCCCCCAGCCGATCTCTGTCCCTCGCCCTTTGTCCTTGGGGCCCCCCCGCCCCATCTTCTGCCAGGTCGATGGACTCTCTGTTTGAAGAGCTCATCGGCTTCGGCGTGCTGAAGAAGAGCGAGACAGTGGCGCTGAAGGACTATGTTGGTGAGACCCCTCCCCAGCACCTGCTCCCGGGCTGAGGAACGGCACCTCCCCCGCAGCTGACAGCCATTCTTGCAGGGAACCTTCTCGCATGCTCTGCCCCGGCGGGTGCCACTCACCAGCGGCCACCTTCCCCCAGGTGACTGCCTGTATCTTGGATCTGCTCTGAATTTGGCAAACAAGTTGCCTATGCCTTCCTTGTTTGACGTACGACAGAACGTGGCCTTGTATGGGGTTCTTCGGCTTGGTGAGAGGCCCTGGGGAGAGGGGAGAGCCAGCGCTGGGCAGGTGGCTCTCCAGGAGCCTGTGTGCAAGGGGTGGGGGGCGGCTGAGGCAGGCGTGTCCAGCCCAGGCTTTCAACTCCCAGTGCCACGGACTGGGTCGAACTGCCCTGCCAGGCCCCACGGAGGTCACACCCGGATTGGGCCATCCCAGAAGTCATGTGGACCCTTGATCTGCTGAGAAGCCCACATTTCTAGCGCCCTCTCAATCCTGAGTGACGTCCCAGAGTCTGTCTGATTCCCTGAGCACCAGCCCCCACTGCCTATAAATACCAGATCTTTCTGAAGTGGTTGGTCACACGCCCTTTAATTCCACCCCTTCCAAATCCAGGAGTGGAAACAGATGGTATGGAAAACAGAAAGGGCATTGGAAGGAGGTGGAGGGCTCTCCCCTGACCCCCGCGTGTAACTCTTCATAGGCATGGTTGCTAAGCTGTTAGAATTCCTCTAGGCTGCCTCTCCCAGCGGGCAGGCCTGGGTCATTGCTCAGACACCGGGGGAAGGCAGTGCAGCCAGGGTCGGAACCTCTTCCCATGCAGCCCAGGGCCTTTGGCCCCACTTTACACGACATCTCCACCCCCGGCCCCTGCTGGCCCACTGCCTGCCTCTGGCCCCTGTTTCCTCTCTCAGGCTCCCCAGATATACACTCCATGGCACCCCTCATCCGCTCCATCCTCCTGGTGGGCCCCTCGGGCGTGGGGAAGAGGATGCTGGTGAAGGCCGTGTGCACGGAAACCGGTGCCAACCTTTTCGACCTGTCACCTGAAAACCTGCAGGGCAAATACCCTGGCAAGACCGGGGTGCAGATGCTGGTGCACATAGTCTTTAAGGTCTGAGTCCCCTGATGGCATTTCTCATTCTCAGACTATGACAATAGAGCAGAGTGAGCTTTAAGCTTAGGAGGTCAGCCGTCTGCCCATTTGGTATAGTTTCAGGAGCTGGTGAGGTCTCCCTGCATCCCCGCCAGGAGCCTGTGGGTGCCTGGAGCTCCTGTGATGGGGGAGGCAGGAGGCAGTAGGGAGCAGAGTAGCTTCTTCTCATGGTAGAGATGAAACTGAATGTGTCAGGGAGGGCAGGGAAGCTGTCACATGGAGGTGTCATGAGTATGCAAAGGGCTGAGAAGTAGGGCTGGCAGGATGTGGAAAGTGGAGGCCAGAGGGCCGAGGCTCTCCACTGCCCGAGGCTGGCCCTGACACTGGGCTGGACCAGATGGGGAAGTGACCCTAGCCTGGGGACATCTAACATTAGATTTCTATTCTCTGTCCTGTCCAGGTGGCTCGATACCTACAGCCCTCTGTGATCTGGATTGGGAATGCTGAGAAGAATTTCTACAAGCGGGTCCCAAAAGAAGACAAGGAGGTGAGGGAGCCTGGGCAGGGCTGGCAGGAGTGGGCTTGTTCAAGTCACTCCAAACCTCACCTGACTTGGGCATGTCTCCTGTCCTCCTCCTGCCTTATTGCCCCTCCTTCTGCTGCCAGGATCCCTGTGAGGCTGAGCGTGGGCACGTGCTCCGGGAATTAGAAGCCCGTATGATGTCAGTGTGTCCCCTCCCCACCTCCCCTCCTTCCCCAGAGCAGATGGACCCAAAGCGAATAAAGAAGGACCTCACCAAGGCCCTGCGACAGCTGAATCCCGGAGACCGTGTGATGCTGATAGGGACCACCGACCAGCCGCAAGTGGCAGAGATGAAGGGGCTGTGCCGCACCTACGAGCGGGTCCTCTTGGTGCCGCGGCCCGATTATGCGTCTCGCTATGGTGAGGCCCAGGGACATGGGGACAGGGCCGAGAAGGGTCGAGGGACCACCTCTGCAGGAGCTCCTCACCCCTCCTTCCATCCCTGCTGCTTTGAGTCCTCGTCTCCATGGCCAGGTGTTCTGGAAGGGCCACTAGACAGGCAGTCCAGTGGCCTGGGTCCTGGCCTGGCTCTGTAGACATAGGCAGGCCACTTAAGTCCCTGGAGTCTCACTTTCTCATCTTAAGTGGGGAGGATGATCCTTACCTTCCCGGGAGGAGAAGCACTGATGGATGTAGAGCCGCCCTCCAGAAGCACAGAGCTCTTCCCAGGTACAGACAGAGGTGCCCACTGCCTCTCCCTGCCCCATGTCCTCCCCCCATGCCTGCAGTGCTCTGGAAGCACATGATAGAGGCCCGGGGAGGACAGATGACCCAGAAACTGGACATCAGTGCCCTGGCCAAAGTGTCTGATGGCTACACACCTGGCTGTATCCTCCAAGCCGTCCACGCAGCGCTGACCGAGCAGCGGCTCTTACGATTGTCCAAGCGGCCCCTGGTGGCCTCAGAGTTCCTGGGGCATCTGGCGAAGCTGGAGCCAGTGCACAGGGAGGAGGAGGAGTCCCTGAAGGTGAGGCTTTGGGTAGGGGCGGGGTGGTGCGGGGAGCCAGGAAAGAGGGCTGTGGGCCAGCAACAGTCGGGCAGTCGGCCCTCTGAAGGCCCACAGCACACACTGGACCCCTTCCTCTGCTCCCACGGAGCTCAGCTGGTGGGGGGAGAAGAATCCCAGGGAAAGACATGTGCGCAGGGCCGGCTCACCGGCCTTCCTGGAGGCTGGGAGCCTGAAGGGGCACCTGTGTATCGGGAGCCCTTGGTTGATTCTGGCACTGGCAGCCACTCACGTCCCCCACCTCTGAGTCTGTGCCCACCCCCAGGGGTGGCTGTGGGAGCACAAGAGAGAGAGCTGCAGGTAGGGGGAGGAGGGCCTGCCCCTGACAATGGCTGACACGGAGGCCTAGAGTATTTGGTGAAAAGCAAGGCAAACCACGGCTCTAGCAGGACGCCCGGACCCTAGAGGAGTCTGTGCTGAGGGCACAGATCTGTAAAAACAGAAGCAAGGTCAGGAAGTGGGGCCAAGCGTCAGAGCCGACATATTTACCCTTCCTCTTCCTCCTCCAACCCAGGATTGGTACTTCAAGACCCCACTGGGCAAGAGGAGAATGGAACTTAGCAAGGACCAGGACGCTGCTGAGCAAGCCAAGCTGGCAAAGGAGAAGAAGAAGAGGAAGTGATGCTGAGGCCGGGGTGTCTGAGATTAGCGGTGGGACTGGGCGGAGCCCCACGGGCTAAGGGACCGGATGTGGAGGGGGCGGAGGTATAAATGACCAGACACTCGGGGACCTGCTCTTTTTGTCCATCTCTGTGCTTCCCCTCCCAGGTGCCCAGCCTCCACCTTGCCCCACCGTCTCCAGGCCCACACCCTCGCTGCTCACAGCCGGCTCCACTCTGGTCCCAGAGCCCTGTCCTCTGACCCCACCCGTGTCTGCATCTCCTGTCATTTTTCTGTCCTGCCTCCCCAGCTCTCTTCCTCCTCCATGTATTTAAGGGAGAAAAATAAGGAAAGAAGGAGAAAGGGAAAGCAGAGAGAGGGGAGAAAGGTCTATATTAAGTGTAAAAAAAAAAACAGTCTGAAGGCCAGCGGACCCCGGTTCTAGCCCCACTTGGCCCGAAACTCTTGTGTGGTTTCCCACAATCCTTTCCTGTCTCTGGGCCTCAGTTTCTTTCCCTGTGAAATGAGGAGAGGTTGGATCAGCCTGTACCCATGGTCCCTTCAATTCTAGGGTTTGGTTATTTCTACAGGAGCGTCTGGAAAGTCAGGGAGGTGAGGGCTCTGGGCAGCAGCGGAGTGGGGTGGGGAGAGAAGGTTCTAGAGAAGAAGGCTGTAGGGAAAGGGAGGTACTGGTGGCCAGAGCAAAGGGCTGTGTGTGGGCCCAGGGCACTCTCTGAGACATCTCCACCACTTTTCTCCGGGAACCACCCCGCCCACCCCCATCTGCCCAAGCTCTGCCCGCCTTCCTCTGACCCAGAGCATGTCCTTCAAGGGGCTGAAGGGGACATAGCCTTCTGCCCTGGGCCGAAGTCCAACTGCAGGCTCCCCTTGCTGTGGGGGCTGGAGTCGAGGAACTCAGGGAGCAGGGTATAACCCTGCCACCGTGAGGGGAGCCCCAGGGTTCCCTCCGAAGGAGCCGTGTAAGGAGTGTGGGAATAAAGGTCAAAGCGTGTTCCCTGTGTCATGAGAGCCAGGTAAGGCGAGACCACTGGGCTGGAGTGAGAGGGCCTGGTGTGGGGCAGTGGTCCCCAGGGGCTGAGTTTTGAGTTTCCTTTTTCCCTTTTTCCCTTTTCATCTCCCCAAGTGGAAGAAGTCTTGTTATCCTAAGGTGTCCAAGTGGGCAGCCACTTCCTCCTTCCCACAAGAGGCCCCGGGTCTCAGGGAGGTGGGGGGTGAGCGCTGAGGCGGCTGCCTGTTGGCTGATAGCAGTGGCTGAGCCTGGTCTCCCCTGCACAGAACCCTGGAGGGGGTCCCTCATGGAGTGGAGTGCTTTCTGCCATTGGTCACTCCCGTGGAGCCCTCTCTCGAGCTTGGGAGTGGGAAGGTGCAGGGCTGATTGGTGACATCTAGGAGGGCAGGAAAAATTATCTGGTTACCCAACATGCTCCCTCTGGGATCAGAGCTCAGGCCCCTGGAGGCTGCCTTGGTGAAGCACGTGATGGATGAGAAAGAGTGTGAAAATGGCAGCTTGAGAGTCCCCGTACCCCCACCCCATTCTAGTCCGGGCCCTGCAACAAGGTGTCACACCTTGGACAGAGCTCTTCCCACCTCTGGGCTTTACTGGTGCGGACTGAACACCACCATCTCGGTGGTCCCTTCAGTCTGATGGGGACAACCCCGGGCTTGCTCAGGGCTGGAGGACTCCACCCTCACTCTGTTCTCCAGGCTCCTTCCTAATTCCCACGCCCAGCCTGCCGCCTCCTTCCCTGGGACTGACAGCTGGGACCATCGGGGCTATTTGTGGCATGGCCTGTGTGTGCTCCCTGCCCCTCCCACGCCCGGCCTCTGACTGGCTTGGGCCCAGCACCTGCCTGCCCAGTCTGCCAGCAGCAGCACCCTAAGCCCTGCTTCTTTGGCTCTTTCTCCCTGTAACTGGCCATGCCTGGGGGAAGGAGCTCCCCTCCCCGCTGGGGACACCGTCTGGCGTACCTCCGCTCGGACCCTGCCTGCCGGGTCTGGGGGTCCCAGCCCTGCCCAGCCTGGGAGCCCCCTCTGCCATCGCCACTGCTGTGCCGAGACATGGCGCTGCAGAACGCCCTGTACACTGGAGACCTGGCGCGGCTGCAGGAGCTCTTCCCCCCGCACAGCACAGCCGACCTGCTGCTGGAGAGCCGGGCGGCCGAGCCTCGCTGGACCAGCCACGAGAGGGGTGAGGGGCGGCCGGGGGAGGCGCTGAGGGCCAGGGGCCTGGGCTGACCACACCAGGCCCAGAGGTACCAAGTGCTTGAGGAAAAGCAGAAGCCCCCGGCTCTTTCTCTCCCACCCCGAGGCTTGGCCCAGGAGAGAAGTCATGTGGAGCCCAGAATAGCTCCTGCTGAACCAAGTGGCCAGGTCAGGCTCAGCTTGAGGACACAGAGACACTCTCCCTGATCTGTCCCTGTCGCCCTCCTCCTCTCTCTCTCCCTGCCTGTGACCCCTACCTCTCCTCCCCTGACCCCCTTCCTACATGCTCACACTCTGCCCTCATGAGCTGGTCCGCAGATGAATGCAGGGGGCAGGGCTCGCCCTCCGGTGACAGACATGCCCTCTGTGCCAGGCTGGTGGAAAAGCCTAGCAGAGGGTCTGCAGAGTGCCAGGAGTCTGGCCGGGGACCCATCGTCACCTGCACCGCCTCGGGACCCGCGCTGGCCTTCTGGCAGGCAGTGCTGGACGGGGACGTGGGCTCTGTCTCCCGCATCCTCACTGACTCCAGCACTGGCCTGGCTCCGGATTCCATCTTTGATACCAGCGACCCAGAGCGATGGAGGGATTTCCGCTTCAACATCCGCGCTCTGAGTATGGGCCAGGGGCACAGGGCGGGGGCTGAGTGGGAGAGGGAAGCCTGGGGAGGAGCTCTGGGCTCCTCTTCCTGGCCTTTGCCCACACCCTCGCTACCTGGTAGCTCTTGCCTCCCTCAGGGTCTGAGGCCCCATCCCATCTCTCCCCAGGACTCTGGTCTCTGACGTACAAGGAGGAGCTGACCACCCCGCTGCACGTGGCAGCCAGCCGGGGCCACACAGAAGTCCTGCGGCTGCTGCTGAGGCGGCGGGCAAGGCCCGACAATGCCCCCGGGGGCCGCACTGCCCTGCATGAGGCCTGTGCTGCCGGCCACGCTGCCTGCGTCCACGCGCTGCTGGTGGCTGGAGCCGACCCCAACATCCCTGACCAGGATGGGAAACGCCCCTTACACCTCTGTGGGGAGGCTGGCAGCCTTGAGTGAGTGAGCTCTCACCCCAACCCCCACTGCACTTGTAGGGGAGGCAAAGAGATAGCCTCAGGGGGGAAGAGGGAGGAGGCCCTGGCAGGCCTGGAGAGCTGGGATGGAGGAGTTGAGGCTCAGGGGAGAGTCAGGATTTCCCCAAACCATCCCACCACTGGCCCAGTGAGCTTTGGAATGGTCTGTACCTAGAACAGTTTCTGCTTTCCCAGGGGTGGAGGAGGGCTGTGGCAGGGCCCCGCTGCATGGCCCACACTGGAGAAGTTGTGCGTCCGTTATGGGGGAGGTGGTGCACTGTAAAGTTTTAATTCTTCTGAGTTTATCTTATGTCCCAGGCACTGTGCTAAGCACAACAGTAACTAAGGCACGATCTTGCCCTCAGGGAACTGACTGGCTAGTGATCCAGATAGACTGTAGGGGGTTGTGGGTCCCCAGTTAGGGCCTGTGGTGGTCCTTGAAGGTAGGATCTAGTTCTCAACATGGTTGATCTGGCATTTCCATGTTGGCAGGCACCCTTAGGTAAATGAGCTCAGGGACTGACCCCAACTAACCAAACTCACAAGAAACTGATGGCTATACCCAAATGTGACAATACATCATTTACTGTAGGGAATATTCCTTTACAGTGACCCAAATAATTATGCCTATGCATAGGGGGCCTTGGAGAATGAGTCCTCACAATTTTTTGATGAGCATGGAATCCCAGCACAGGGAGCCTTGGCAAACCTATGAACTGTACGTACGACAGAGGCCTTCTCTCTACTGACTGCACACCCACCAAATTTCACATCTTGCCCCTGAATGGTGACAAAATTTAGATTCTTGGGTCCCCCTTTCCTGGACCTTCTCTCTCCTGTTAACCTCATCAGCCTTCAGGGAATTCCACTGACTTACATTATGAAGGAAAAATGTGTTCTACACCAGTGTGGTCCAGTAGAAATATAACATGAGCCACGTGTGTAATTTTAAATTTTCTCATAGCCCTATTGAGACATGAAAAAGCAACAGGTGAAATTAATTTTTCCATAGTGGTAAATTACACATAACATAAAATTTACCATCTTAACCAGTACTAAATGTACGGTTCAGTAGCACAATGTGTATTCACATCATTGTGCAACTATCACTACCATCCAACTCTCACTTTTTTAATCTTGCAAAACTGAGATTCTGGACCCTTTGAAAAAGAACCCCCCATTCCCCCTCCCCTACCCCTGCCAACCACCATTATACCTTTAGACTCAGTTTGCTTGAAGCATCTCTTATGAGTGGAATCGTACAGTATTTGTTCTTTTGTGACTGGCTCATTTCACTGAACATCATGTCCTCAGGTTCATCCATGCTGTAGCATGTAACAGAATTTCCTTCCCTTTTGAAGGCTGACTAATACTCGATTGTATGTAGATACCACATTCTGTTTATCCATTCATCAACTGATGGACATTTAGGTTGCTTCCATGTTTTGGCTGTTGTGAATAGTGCTGCTATGAACATGGGTATATAAATGTGAAACAAGTGAAATTAACTTCATAATATATTTTATTTAACACAATGTATTCAAAATGTTATCATTGCAACATGTAATCTGTATTTAAAAAGAATGAGATATTTTACATTCTTTTTTTGTATCAAGTCTTCAAAATGGTGTATATTTTGCACTTACAGCACATCTCACTTAGGACCAGCCACCCTGCAAGTACTTAACAGCCTCATGCAGCTGGTGGCCGCTGTGTTGGACAGTGCCCTTCTATACGTCCCACATATTTAGTTCTGGCCGTGCTCCAGCCCAGCCTCCTTGCAGTCACATTTGGTGATCCTTCCTTTTTTGACTAAACAAATGTATTTTTTTAATTATTATGGAGAATTTCAAATATATAGAAAGATGGACAGGCTAATATAATGAGCCCCCATGATCCATCACCATCTATCCCACCCTCGCCCCCACACAGTACAGCCGCTATAAGTGTTTATGCTAACAGCTTCTCAGGCACTGTCTCATCTGCTCACAACATCTTCAGTCTAGATATGAACAATTACCCTCATTCTACAGATAAGGAAACTGGAGCTCAAAGAGGCTCGGTTCCCTTAGCCTTGAATTTTGGGTCATGCATCCTTCCAGGTGTACATGATCTTCCGTGAGGGACATCTTGGAGCAGATCTGGCTAATCAATTTTGGTTTTGTTGTTCTTTCTCCTACTGCCTCAATTTCCATTTGTGCCCACTTCCAGGCTCCCCTCCCCACCTCCTCCTCCTATCCCAGCAGACAGAGCCCTCCGTCTGCCCTGCTGCCCCCTGGACCCAAAAGCCAGCTGCTCCCTTACTAGCTGTGTGAACATGCCAAGTTCCTCCCACCCTCAGCGAATCGGTTTCCTCTTCTGAACCTGCCATAGGAACACATGAGGATGAAATGAGTTGGCACTCGTGACGCCCGCAGAAGGCGTCTGTTCTAACTGCATAACGGCTGCTGGTGACTTTAACCCCCACCTAGCGTTTAGGGCACTACTCCTGCAGAGAGTATGTGGACTTGAAAGAGGGCACTGTTGATGCTGCAGAATGTTGCTGGGATGACTAGTGGCACACAGGATGGAAGGTGAGGGGCAGACAGCACCAGGAGCCCCTCAAGAGCCTCCCCAGGTTGGCTTTGCTCAGACTGGCAGGAATGCAGGGGTGAGGGTCTGTGCCCCGTTTTCCTCCCCACGGCCATCTCATCCTTACTAGGTGTGCAGAGCTGCTCCTGAGGTTTGGAGCCAAAGTGG